ATCTCATCTGATCTTATCCGATCTTATCCGATTTTTTTTTTTTTTCTCGACCTGGTCTTCCGTTTTGTTTTTTTCTTTCCTGTGTTAACCAGTTTGTTAAACAAAAGTGTTTTTGATTGTTATTACCATTTTTTTAATCTTTTGTTTTGTTAATTCCCTGTGTTAGCCAGTCTTTTTTCTTTTTTTTTCCCCAGTTTTTTTTTTTGCTTAAAGAGGTGTTTTTTTTTGCTTAAAGAGGTGTTTTTTTGGGCTAGAAACGGGTTAGTGACGTGATGGTTATAGGTAGGTAGTATGGGAGCGGTGGTGCTCTTCGGGGTCGGGGTTAGGCTTGGGGTTTTAAGTTTAATTTTATTCCTCCCCCCTCCCCCCCCCCGGGAGACTGACGAAGTAACATTTTCCTTCCTTCGCCTTGCTGTTTGCTGCTCTCTCTCTCTCTCTCTCTCTCTCTCTCTCTCTCGCTCTCTCCCTCTCTCTCTCGCTCTCTTTTTCTCTCTTTTTGACAGATTAAAAAGGAGATCGAAGCCGACCTCTCGCCTTTCAAATGTGGAATAGCCCACTTGTTCTGTAAGTGCATAACTGTCATCAAGGGCCAATCAATTTCACGAAAACCAACAACAACTTCAACTTTCTTCCTCCTCCTTTTCCTGCTCTTCCTCGTCTTCCTCCTAATCATCCTTCTTCTCCTGCTACTCCCCGTCTCCTCTTTTGTCCTGTCCTCCTCTACTCCTCCTCCTCCCCTCCTCTCCTCCTCCCCTCCTGTCTTCCTCTCCTTTCTTCTCCTTCCCGTACTCTGTCGAAATTATGAGGAAACTTTACTACAGGAGTCGTCTAGGAAACATGAAATCTTCCTTCTGCTCCTCTTCCTCGTTCTCGTGTTACTCCCCACCTCCTCTTGTTCCTGTCCCCTCCTCTACTCCTCCCTTTCCTTCCTTTCCTCCTTTCCTCCCTCCCCTCCTCTCCTCCCTCCCCTCCTCTTCTCCTCTCCTCCTCTCCTCCTCTCCTCCTCAAAAAGTTATTTAAGGGAAAGTTTGTTACGGGAGTTGTTGTTTGGAAAGCGCGACCTTTGACATCAGTAAGGGCAGACTCACCCGTAGGACATTCGTGCATGTATCTTGACCGCAAATTCGGCCGGATTCAGCCGAGAAAGTACTGGTCCAAGTTCGCCCTCACTCTCCCCGATGAGGATGGTATGGGGAACGGCACGCTCAGGTTTGCAAATGCCGAAGCGAGCCCTGTTGGAATGAACCTGGAGGCAGAGACGCCCAAGTGCATGATCCGCACCTGCATTTGTCAGAGGCCCGGTGCATTCTGACCAGGCCCTGGGCTGATTTACAGTTGTTCTGCCGAACACAAAAGGCCTATTTGTGTACTTCACCCTTTCGTTAACTTCTGTTATTATTCCGTTTAGGGTTCCGTTTTGGGTTTGAACTATTTGAAGTTTGAAGTTTGCGGTGTCTGTCGAGTATAAAGTGTCTGTGGAGTTAGGGTTCGTGGTTCATACTGGGGTTTGGTGTTGGTATGTTTTTTTTGGGTCCGGGTCTTGTTTTGTTTATCCAATCGTGCATGGAATCGAATTGGCGATTATTAGGCTCGGGTACTGGTTTGGGATGGTGATTGGTTTTGGATGGTGATTGGATTGGGATGGTGTTTTGGTGGGGGTTCCAGATCGGTACGGGGTTAAATTGGGGCTTTTGTTTCGGTTTGGGACGAGGTCTGGGACCGGCATGGGGACAAACGTCGAGCGCAGGAGCGGGGATGAGGCTTTACATTTGGGTTAGGGTGGGGTTGGGCTTGTGGTCGGGAAGGGGTTTGCTTCTGGTTGATTGAGATATGGGGATCTAGGGATCTGGGTGGGTCGCTATGGGGTTAAACTGGGGCTTTTATTTTGGGTCGGGATGAGGTCAACATTAATTCATTGATGCAATCCTGCATGGAATCGAACTGGCGACTGTTCAGGTTCGGGTATTGGCTTAGGAATGTGTTTCGAATGTGTTCCGGTGTGGGTTCCGGGTTGGAATGGGGTTAAATTGGGGCCTTTGTGCTGGTTTGGGACGAGGTTTAGGACCTGCAGGGGGACAAATGTCAAGCTCTGGAGTGGGGATGGGGGCTTACATTTGGGTTTTGGTGGGGTGGGGCTTGTGGTCGGGAAGGGGGTTGCTTATGGTTGGTGGGGATGGGGTTTGGGCTTAGGCCCTTTAGGGTTGAGAAGGGTTTGGGGTTTTGGGGTCGGAATGGGGTTGGGGTTGTAGGTTGGGATAGGGTCTGGGTTCGTGGTTGGGATGGGGTTTTGAGTTTTGAGTTTGGGCTGGGACTGGGTTTAGGTGGAGATTGAGTTGGGGGTTGTGTTTTTTGGCGGGAATGGGGATTTCTGGTTCGGGTTACGGTTGGGTTTTTGGGGGAAGGGGAAGGGGGGAGGAGGTTCCGGTTGGGAAGGGGTTTGGTTTGGGGCTTGGTTTGGGATGGGGTTTGGGTTTTGGGTTTGAGAAGGGGTTTGGGTCAATGGTCGGAGTGGGGTTTGGGTTCTAGGGTGGGATGAGCTTTGACTTTCAAGTTTGGGCTCGCAATGGGTTTTCCACGGGGGTTGAGTTTTGGATTGCAAATAAGCTTGGGTTAAACATTATTTGGGTTTTAGATGCAGAGGGAGCATGGGTTTAGGGTTTTAGCATCCCTGTGTGTGTGTGTGTGTGTGTGTGTGTGTGTGTGTGTGTGTGTGTGTGTGTGTGTGTGTGTGTGTGTGTGT